AATTGCGAACTCCCCTAAACGGAAAAATTTAGAACAATTCAAATCAGAGACTTTTCCACTTCTCATGTAGTTCGGTTTAATGAGAATACAAATGTCAACGTAAAGTAATACCCTCTGGCGGAAGGAAAATTCTGTTGGGCCAAATAGGCATTTCAGCAAAAGGAAAAAGAAGAGGAGTAAGAAGCTGGGAGCTGGGTCTGTTCGAACGTCAAAAACCCGTTGTGGTGACAGCACCAGCGGTGAAGTCTCGATTGCATCAATGGAGCGAGCATGCGTCTACGTATGATAATTACTATCGAAGCTTTTAATATACACGAGTTATGGAAGCAGTGGACTAACTGTATAACTTGTCACTTTGACGAAATCCATCTAGTTTGTATATTTATGTGTCTATTTTAAGCTGGAACAATTTGACTTTTCTCGTTAGATGCAAGCACCTCTTCTCCACGCAAAAATACACTTTAAATGAGTCCAAGAACGGAATCACTGTCATGGCATTCGCGAAAGCACCTGCATTCATCATCAACTTTCCGGGAGAAGATGCTCGATAAGTTAGCTCAATTCAAGCCTGACACGTTATTTATCTTAATGGGATGGGCCTTTTACGTTTTTAGATCCGTGCTATCGATAGACAGTTGCAAGAACTTCTAAAGCCACTTACAATTCCGTCAACTCGACACCACATCCTAGCCAAATGGCCGAACAGAGATCTGAGGAGCCTTGATGCGCTTCATTAGGTGTTTTGGGAGGTGAAACAGCCAACGAATGCTTGTCCGTGCGCCACCTCCTCTCACGTGTCGGCTCAGTGCCTCATAGAAATGCGCGCTTACTGCTGTAAATCACACACTGTGACGGCGTGTGGTTGTTGTTGTTGCTAGGTGTGAGATAGTGGACACATGGTGGTGTGAAATCAGGGTCAGAGGACGGGCGAGAAGAACCAACTTTCCTGCCTTGTTTGCCTCCCCACTCCCCGAGGGGACTCGTCCATCGATCTCGAGCTCAAACAGTAGCAGGGACTGGGGTGCCTTGATAACTCAATCTGCCTGTGGCGAACATGCATTGATTTCGCCAACGTAACCAAAATCCTGCAACTTCTCATTGCCTCCTCTTTACCGTCTCAAAAGGCAGGGTTTTTCGCTTTGGTGTTGTGCAGATTGGAAATCGCCATTGTCACAAATGTTTGCTTATGAAGAGACGGCCCTCGCGCCTTTGTGGCTGCCAGATGAGGCAATCAGCGTTATTGGGGGAAGTGTCAGTTCTCAAGGCAACTAATCTGTCATCCTCCATCTCCTCCTCCAAGGTGTCTAAAACAATTCACTCGATTAGTGACCGACGTGAAGAACTGATAGAAAGGACTATAATTAAATTTATCTCACACTCCCAATGCGGGTAACAAATGAAATCCTTTTATCACGCACTTCATCGGAGTATCTGAACGGCATGGAAACGTCATGGTGTGTTTCCACGACCGAGATTTTCGAGGCCCCGCTTTCCAGCAGGCTCGACTTCGCCTATCAAGAACGATGCCCTTCCACTTCCTTTCCCTGTTAATTTCTTCAGTCACCAAGCCTAAAAATGGTGAATCCGTATTTATCAGACTTGTGGCGAACTAAAGTACTTAGTTTTAAATAGTTCCTACTTTTGGAAACATTATGTGCAGAGGTTTAAGATTTTGTTAAATCACAAATCGCACAGTAAGCATGAACTCCCTTCTACCAGTAGCTGTGAAAAAAGTGGTGAGTATACCTCAGGTTACTGGTCCTCACATTGTGGTATGGACTCCAGGGGATCTTGATTTGGTGACTCAAGTTGGGGGACACTGTAGGTGGATGCCGAGGTAGTTGTTTCAGCATATGAATCCGCACAAAGACGTTGGGGTTCCTTGGTTCACTACACGCACGACGATCAGTATGCGGTCGCCATTTCGACTTTGAGTGGGGCACGTGGAACCTGAAAAAAGCATCTTTGGCGGAGCTGGCAGTCCCGTTGAAGAATGGCAAAACTAGCTAGCAAAAAGCATTGCTAAAATCATGCAGACACTCCCTACTTAGGTTTGTTTCAACCCACCTAGCACCTTTGTTAGGCTAACGGGCGTTATTTCCAGGCACAAAAAAATGCCTACCACTTTTGTATTTTCAGAATGTTTCCTGTAGAAGCTGATTCAATTGCTCTCATTTTTTGCCTTTGTTTTCATTCATCTTGGCGGAATCGAAACCTATCACCTTATTTACACGATGAGGGGAATCACAAGCACCCTCATTCCTCCGTTTTCCAAAGGGATGCAATATAAAAGCGGACAAACAGGCGGTTTCATTAAGCCATGGCGGAAATGTCGTACCTTGACTGTTTCTAGCTTCGTGACAATTTGATGTCAATCACAACATTGAATAGCTCAGTCAATATTGCTTCGAAATTGTTCAGGGGCATCATCCTGATATCGGGCCAATTTGTTTTCCCTGGGGAAATATGTAGCCCTTTTAGCTTCCCGAACGCCACTTTTGCTTCAAGCAACAGCTCCCCTAGCTGGGTACTAAACTACCTCACACCTCTGACGTGATTCTGGGTTATTGATCTCGGCTTAGTGTAACCTTCGCTATAATCTAATCACCCTGGTTCAAACGGAGGCAAGCAGTTCTGGCAAGCGAAGATTTGGATTTCGGTTTCGATTTCCCACACTAAATTCTAGTAATTTACTAGTTAAAACAAAAGGTGTTATTCAAGGGGCATTGTGAACTATCTAGGGACATAGGAGTGAGGTGGGGGTGGTGGGTGAGTCATAATTAGGCTCGTGCTTAAATAGAAGCGGAACCCACCCGTGAAATTGTCTTTCGGGCGCGTCTTGCGCGGGCTGTCAGGCGTTCGCAGTTTCTTTTTTTGACTAACTTGACCGTAAACCCCTTGAGGAACAGGTGGCTGCACCCCGGTCTGCCCTGCAATTAACACCGGCCACAAACAAAATAAAAAGGAAAGGCAGGTGCTAAATATAGGGCTGTGATTCGGCAGGTCAACCTCACCGGTGATGTTTGCTTCGGCTGCTGAGCTAAAATAAATAAAGATTGAAAAAAAATGGAGCATTTGTGATGGGAAGTAGGGAAGTAGGGAAGGAGGGGCATTTCGTAGGACGACATGCGTTCAGCATAAATTATTATTATATTCACTCTGTGTTATCTCTTAACGGTGACAGAATGTGGTTCAAAATCAGGCGGACGCGTCTTCGCTCCTCATAATCGAAGTCACGCCACCTGCCTGACGTAACAACTACCTTATGAGATGAGATACTGCTTGTCATTGCCAACACTGTCTCCGAGTGAGATAAAAAAAAAGTCGATTAGCCGAATATCAGCTCCCAATTGGGTAGATACTTAATAAGATTTATGCTTCGTACACTTTTGATTTCAATTATTTATTTATTGCCTCACGTAAATAAGTAGAATCTGTCATGAATTCCGTGATGGTAATCGATCTTAATTGCACACTACCAACACCGTATGAAGTCGGCCTTGTAGCGAGCAGTGAGCGACCACATTTAGCAAGCGTGAGCGAACACGACGCCATCGATTTGCGTGAATGCACTTCACGCAACGGTGTTCGTGCAGAGATCAATATTACCCGACTCGGCATAAGCTGATGACTTGTTACCTTACCCTACCACTCTACTACAGCATCGGTAAATTAGTTGAGCTGCACTTTATCTCTGCACCTCTTTTCTTTCTTCGGTCGGGCCGTGTCTACGTAAACCGTCAGCACTAGGGGCCACAACAGCTTCATAGTGGACCTCTTCAGACACCAGTTCGTCAACGTGACATTTAAACAAGCCATCTTCCCTTCAATTGGATGTATATAGCCTATGCCCAAGGCTATTTGCGTCCAATGTGGCGATTATCGGGAATTAGTCATTACAATTGTATGTCCATAAAGCTTGCCAATAAGAAGCAATTTAAGTAGCATGAAGTAACACGTCCATTGGAAAGTTGCAACCACATGCCATTTCAGGGCGTTGTAAAGTGCCCAAATTAAATCAACCCAAGTTCAAAAATTTGCTTCTCTAAGACAAAATGTTCTTAATTAAAATGTCTTGCTAGCACTCCCAGAAACTCCCACCTTTGTTTACTTTTTTCCAAAAAAATGCCGTCTCATCAATGCTAAATTCATTTTTTTCAATCTGCATCCCTTTCTAGCGTTCATGTGAAGTATCTTTAACCGACAATAAATCAGCAGCAGTGGCAATAACCGCGCCCTGGAGAATTGGTGGCGGGCCGTGGAGACATCAGAATGCAAATCCGTTAATCCGAGTCCCAACACGGGCGTCGTATGTGCGACTGCTGTTTGGTACTTCGTTGACTACGACTCCACACTACAAATTATTTCGAAGACTGGCCACTTTGACTTCCGTCACTTTGACCTCCATTCAGCTGTAAAGCAAACTATCGATTTGCATTCGTATTAAAACGGGGAGCGCAATTTCTACCAATGCTATTACCTCAGCAGGACCTAATTATCCACCCTCCATGGGAATTCAACTTGATTGAGACTGGTGAGATTCAAGACGTAATTTACTTCTGTCGAAAATTTACAGATTCGAAAGTAGTTGGATTTTCCCGCTGAAGTTCATTAGCATGGCCATTTGGGTGAGAAATACAAGTTTAACCAGATTCAGAATTTGCTGCTGGAGACACAGTGCGTTCCTAATTAAGCTTCCTATTTGATTAAATATTAATTAGAGACCGAAAATCTTGGCGAAAATAGGCAGCAAATTTACAATAAAGTCACCAAATGCACCAGTGCTTGAACCTTGCATCACCGCACGCGCTTTCTCTCCCATTGGTTGGTTCACTCTTGTGCACGTCCAATAAACGTCGAGAGTTGTCGTCGAAATTCACACGCACACATTATTGTGGCTTGACGAATTGCCATCGTCACCGCGTGTGCGGACGTACGCGTGCGTGACGAAGGGGTGACACGGGGTGTGTAGGGGCGTGGGCAAACCTTTGCACCTCCACATGCGGGATTTCACTCTCCTTATCCATACGCCCATAATGACGACGAAAACGATGTCAGCAAAAGCCTCTGCGTTCTCAATTGACGCCATTATGACGACAGCGACAGCCACAACAAGGGCCACCGACTATCCCACTAAGGAATCCTCCCCCATTTCTGCCTCCAACTCAACATCCTCTCAGCAAAGTCCAGGTAAGTTGTCTTAATTTGTTGAGCCAATTTCATTTTACCTTTAATGTCTCTTGCAAAATGGATTTATTCCCGATAATATGTAGAAGCACTACAGAATGCATTCCTTCTTACCCATTCTGGCCTACTTTTTTGACAAGAAAGTACTTAGAACTTAATTTCCTTAAGCTACCTAATTACCACCCTTCCAAGGCCAAAAACAATTGTTCCGATTTCCACAAAACAATTTCTAAACCTTGATAGCGCCATCCACGTCAACCTCCTTTCATAGGTTTCTGAAAGATGTCCTGACTGGACTGCTCAGAGAGCCTAAAAGTGTGTTCTTATTGTTTCCAATTATTTCAGTGCAAATGATTTTTTTTCCTTTTATTTAAAGCAGGAAAATTAGCGGAAATTAAATGCACTTGGCACGAAATCCAATAACATTTGTCTGTCTTTTAAAATGGCTACGTTTTCGTGGATTTTGACTCCCTGAGAAGACTAAATGTTCTTGATTTGTTAAAAGATAGTGATCACCAGTAGAGCCAGCTTACTATAACATATAACCCGAAACAGCTTGATCCGTTAATTCGGTAATCTTATTTATTAAACATGACAAAGTCTATTACCTATCACAGGTCCATTCGATATCAAAGATTTGCAATTCACCAAGTTGCTACGTAGTAGGAAATGCAGTCATGGTCAGATTTTAAACTTTGTGGTTAGAGATTGTAGCGAAAGCCCAAGTTGTGATTAACCAGGAAGCTATAATGAGATGACAATGCACTCGGCACAGTACCTGGGACGGGTTTCTCATTTCTGACGATTCTTCATAACAGAAATGGTTTTCGGACAATTATTAAATGCCTGCCAGTGGCAACTTATGCTTGCCCGAATGAGGCGATCAGAAAGCGGCCCATCACCCATGACCAAGTCAAAACTTTAAGGGAATAGCCGAAGAGCAGTGCTGCCACGCCGCATTCCCACTTCTGTGCGCATTATTACAGGAATTCCAAGGGTATTTAATGTCGCTGCATCAGATCCTCACGTAAATCACCTGCTCTGAATACGAGATATGGGTTCATTGCTGCACGGACACGGTCAATCGCAGTCAAATTAAGTCGTAGTATTCTTCTTGAAAATCCGATCCGCTGAAGTACTTCTACGACCGCAGGCCCGTCTGATAGAATGATTTGGCCAGCAGAAATTTGTCACTTTCACTTTATGTGATTTCCAAGACTCGAAGCAATGAAAATTAAGTAATATTCGAGTGCATGTATCCTTCTGGGGTGTACAAGTGACCATAGGCCAGTTATCCTTTACAATTTAGGAACCAATTAAAATAGACTAGTTGGAATTCAAAAAAGCCAAATCAAACCCGATTGCCCATTTGGGACTCATTTATTGAAGAATTGAGTTATCACGACTCAAAACAATATCCGGTTACCTCCACTACGGTTAATTCAATGCGAGTTCACAGAAGGGTGTGAGCTTTAATCGACAGGAGATGGGTTTAGTCGGAAGCAGTTGCTGTATCCATTGATCGAAATCCACAAAACGAATTTCCACATGTCTTCTATACCTCTACCAGAAAAATGCCATTTCAACTCCGAGCAGACACTAATTACGAAAAGTCCCCCAAATAACAGACAAGGTGCTTCTAACTGGCTACTTCGAGAACACGCACCTTCTTCCACGCCCCGAGGAATAGGTAGTCAGCGTGACTATGAACTTGTCAGAGAAGAGCAAAGCTATCTGGCTCTTTCATAGGATCTTTTTTATTGCCTCATTTGTCCAGTTGTTGGAGTGCTCACACTTTCAATCAACGCTTCCTCATTGCCTAAGCTCTTAGTGCGTCAAAATATGCGCATGATCTGTGGGTCGTAGTTCGTTCTAATGGTCGTTTTTTTCCTAAATGCTTTCATCGTTCCCTCAAAACATCTGTACATTCCTATGCGACACTTTTTTCGGAGTTTGCGTCTCGACAGTGGTGCAGGGGAACCAGTTCAACACCAACACTGCGATTTCGATGCCCTTTCCCCAATATTCTGGCGTTTGAATTGTCCATTCAAACCAGGTCCGATTTGTACACGCAAGAGGTAAAATCGTGGTAACCGCTTTAGCAAGCTAATTTTAAAGGCATTTAATTGACTGACGAGGCTGATGCTAGTTTTCAACGACTTTTGCCGAAAGCAATCGAAAACGATCGCAGTCCAAGATTGATGACCCAACACAAACCACTATTAATTTGGTACCCTTACAAAGATGTTGAGCATTTTAAGCAATTTTTAACGAACCAAACGATCAATTAGAGTACTCAGCTTCAACAACTACTGGAACTGAAGCGGTAAATTCCAATTGATCCGTGTTTCAGAAGGACAGGACCTGACCTCTTGTGCCTCTAGTAACTCCTAGGAAATTATTGGTGGTTGGTTGAATAGGGATTTTACATTCCTGAAGTAACCCTGAGTTCGTACAACAATATTTACTGCTTGGAAAACCTAAAATTATCCAAATTTTGCTAGTGATGACTGGAACTCGCACATGATTCAGATTTTCCAGAGATCCGATGAGCAAGAAATCATGTAGTTGGCGTAAATATGGCGAAATTTCATTGGAAAAGATGTAAAAGAGTGCAATTAATTAAACTTTTCCTCACACCACGAAGCCGAAATACCTTTCCTGTCAACCGTTAGAACAAAAGAGAGGGAATGGGCACCAAGACCTCAATCACTGCACTCATGTGGGGCGAAAAATCGATGTGCCACAATTGTAAGTGAACGTTTAGAAGAATCCAGAACATTGTCACCATTTATGGATAAACAATGCCATGGTAACCCAAATCAGTAAACCACTTGTAGGATCAAATAGCAAGTCCTACAGGCCACCCCCGCGACTAGACAGTTGGGGTTGACAATCACGACCTAAATAGGGACCTCCCACTTCACTGTCGCGCCTGCAACGCGATCTGGTTAGAAAAGCCCGCTGCCATGACTTGGGAGTTTGGAAACCCTGGTGGGTTGGATTTACAGCCCGTTGCGAGCGCACGGCACATCAACACCCTGCCTCCTCCTCGTCCCACGCCCCTCTCCTCAAACAGCCACCTCATTTCGCCATTCACACGCCCGCCCTCTGGAGTTGGCGCGAAATCACGTGGCGTCGCTCACACAGCAGTGCCTGTATCCGGTTAGATGTCGCCCGATGTTTGCTAGTGGCATGGCACGGAGCTCGGTGTTTGGAATTGCCCTTTTAGTCGTGGGTCAGTGCAATCGTCCAAGTTCACTCAACCGCTCACTGCGCCATGTGACATCTCGGAGCGACACTGATCACGATTCTTGTGACAGACAAGTAAAGCTGACGCAAGACCAGTTCGTAGAGTGCTGCTTTGGCACTGAGTCATTGCTTACTGCAATTCGGGCATGTAGAAACACAGTATCAGTGGTAATTAGAGTTCTTGCATAATCTGGTGCGAAGGACCAAACGGGCGAACCCCGTTAATAACCTCTTTTTAGTTGAAACCTGATATTCTCTGGATCAGATTCAAGTTGGAGTACCCACCTGAGGAAAATGCATTTTGGTAATCTAGATTGGGTATTAAAGTGGACCCACGGAATCCAGTAAGTGCCTGGATTTCAATACTGTTCTTTTTTCTACCAACTGGGGCGATTCTACATGATCTGCCAGCATGGTTCACTTGTCAGTTAATGTGCTGCCGCAGTTGGCACAGTTTTCAGGCCCTCCCCAACGCCACAGAAACGATCTGCCCGAAAACCCGATCCAGGAGTGTCCTTTTGTGTCAGCCACTAATGACTACTTGTCAAGTGTCAAACACAACCGCAGACGAGAGAGACGAGCGCCAGTCGCTGCGCCATGCCGTCTGACCCTGTCCTGCCTTAATACAGTCTCAGAGACCTTTTGATGGTGAGAACAGGTGGAGCAATAGGGTGACACTTGACAACCATGACCTAATCAAAGAAAGCCACCAGAATGGAGGAGAAGGTAGCACCAGTGGGTCCCCAACCTCCACATGAGGAAATGACCCTGTGCCTAATTTTGATAGAACAAAATTCATTTTAGTCCACAGGACCCCGAAGACGATTTCACTTCATACACCATTTAACCGAAGTTGGCGAGATGCTTCCTCACGGTTCAGCACCTTTTCTACATAAATTGTAGATAAGCTTGACTCCAGAGTTAAGTCTCCGAGGACGACCACGGCGCACATACGTGCCTCATCAATTTGAAAGCGACCCGGAACCATTCACATCCTGTCATTCGGAGAGAAGCCTTAAAACTTCTCAAAGTGGAACGTGATAGAGTGCGGAACTGGAGTATAAAAATTCGACGATTAAAGCTTCACTCTGAACAATCGGCAGCACGGCTCTCCAGGCAATGACCTTTGTGCTTTCAGAAAATCTGTAATGAGGTTGGCTTCAGCATTGAGTCGCGCTTTGAGGCGGGCGCAAGCGGGATATTGGCGTGGAATGTTACAACGCGCTGCTTTCGTTAACCCTGGTTTTAGTTCCTATCCGCCAAATCCAGCCAAGAGGATGTACTCGTCTTAGGCACTCAATGAGCGCAATCCCCCTCGTGACCTTGAAATCCCATTTCCTTGACCAATCGGCTTTCACGGACATGCGCACACACATGGCGATGGGTTCAAACAAGGTTAATTTTGCCGCGAAATCCGATGACCTCACCGCCCTCGTTGCTATGGTTTCCCTTCACACGCACACACGCACGCACACCACTCAAGTGACCGCAGCAACGGTCGTCGCTCCCGTCACCCAGTGTGTGTGTGTGTGTTGAAATCAAATCGTGCGCGCGCGCAAGCACACTGTTTGAGATGCGTCATTTCTCTGCCTTTCGCAGACAAGAGCGGCAATAAACGACGTGAAATCCGATAGGGCAGAAGGCTCTTTCAGACATGTTTGCATACACTTTCGATACTCTCATATTCAAGTAGGTGGCTGCGGTGGCAGCATGCACCCACCCCCGTGTTAGAACTCAGCCGAGTTAATTCATGCTAGTTGGTGTCTAAGGTTGAAAAAGAGTGGAATTACCGCAAAGAAGGTGGTGGTTATGACATCCACCAAAGCACGAAGTTTCTTCCTCTCCCATGAGTGCTTGCACTTGTGAAAAGCCTTACTCGGTACAAACCGATGCTTGGGAGAAGTTAAAATTGAGAAATTGAATGACTTATGTTTTTTCCCCATTGATTCGAGAAGGTTTAATTCACCAAAATTGCATCCACATTCGACAGTTAACCACCTCACATACTATTTAAGAAAGGTTACAGCGACCTGAAGGAAGGCAGGGTCGTATGATGAGGACCTGTGTCCTGTGGTTATTAAAGGGCCAAACAAAATCGTTCAATGTCTGTTCACAGTAAGCACCTTCGACCTGATCAATGCACGACGGATTGTAATTATGGATTTTATTGGTTTCCGTTTGAGTTACATCCGTATCATTTGATCCCAATGTTGATGTCAGTATGTGGGCGCACTAGTTCTGGCAATGCAGCCTGGCTGAGTATCGGTCCAGTGGTCTGGTTACCAATTTAATTTTGTTTGATAAAACACCTTGATAGCGACTTCTTTGCCACAATTCCCCCTCCCCTATTTTCCTATTTCTTCATTGAGTAACGGGATGGTGGCCAAGTTCGCCTGTTCCTCACAATTGGACCTTTCGTTTTCTTTCATTTTGTGCTAATTTCCCCAGTAAATTTGTGCTGCTCATTCTTCCCCTACGATTTATCTCGGTATTTGATTATCCTGTGTGTCCTAGTAACTGTTTTTGCGCTATCCATCAAAGCGGACAGTGTTCTAAGGGCCTCTAGAAAAAAACTTTGAATGCTTAATTTAGAAATCAGCCCCAAGGGAAATGGCAGACACCTCAGAAGGAGCTGGTCAACCATCCTCAACGCAAACGACACTTCAGGGCTGCTGGCCAAGTCGCCTCGTCTGACCCTCTCGCCCTCGCATGTTCGTGAATTTCGACCGAAATCGGACCTGGCATCCAGCTGTGCAAATCTCTTCGGGTAAGTGGGTGAGACATTGCCCTGTTAGAATGTTAAATAGCTCCTCACAGCTATCTCGACTGAGATCACTAAAAGAGCGTGACAATTGTGCAAGGGCTCTTAAGGAAAGGGACACACGAGTCCCATAGATTAAAAATCATAAAATATCCAGTCATCCAGTTTGCTGAATTGGCGGAAAGCCTGGGAAACCTGGACTCATGACTTTGAAATGAGCCATTTAGCAAAAATCAACTTGAGGACGGTGGAAACAATGTCACACTGGTGGAAGAATGTAGCTCGACTTGCGAAGACGTTCTTTGTGCTACCACTCGGCCAGCCGAATTGATATACTCTGCTTTCATGAACAAACTTTTATGATTCCACTTGCTCGGTGTGAGGAATTTTCATCAAAAGAGGTGGCGGTGGTTTGGAGACTAATAAATCTCAGACGAAGTTCCCAATGGAATGAGTAGAATCAAGTGTCCATGCAAATGTCGGTGTATACAATTCTACTCACCCGTATTGTTTAGCTGCCCAAAGCCAGAGGAAGCCGTTGGAACTCCGAGCCTGAAGAACTTTCCATGCCGAATATCTGGTGGAGTGGGCGAACTGGCAAGAGCCCAATGCCATCTGGAAACCCAGGAACTCTGGCAAAAGTTCAATGAACTCGGCACCGAGATGATCATTACCAAGTCCGGGAGGTGAGCAAGTGAATTTGCTAGTTGTTCTAAGTCTCTCAGAACCCCAAGCAGAGACTGCAAATTTAACTACGTATGATGCTAAACTAACATGCAATTACAGATTGCATTGAATCAAAGAATCAGCAGTGCACTTTCACTTAAACTCGTGGCACTTAGTAATAAACAACTTGAATATCTAAATTTCTCGTAGAAAAGGTTGAGGTGGGAGCCATCAGTCGCAACCCTCTGCTGACTGAACAAAGGTGACTCCGATTATTCAAGAAGAAGAAGGCTGTGTTGCAAGCCTAGGGCCGGGGTAATATGACCACCAGCCAAATTCTCTTCAACTGTGAATCACTCTCAAGGTCGCCCAATTAGGTTTCGGCAGGAACCCCTGCGAAGTAAACTGCGTTCGTCCCACAGCTGACTTCATGGACGAAATTGCTCGATTGATGACTCTCCAACTGATTTTTAACGGATGGTTCGTTAGCGAGGTAGTGGCCATCCTTTAGCCTTGCAAAGTACCCCAGTGCGAGTTAAAATTCATGCATGAATGGAACAACATAAACTTAGTTATACATGACCATGGCAATCTTTATATAAGAGGCTAAGGAAATCCACACAAGACCAGCAATAAATAAACTTATAAGGACCGTAATTGCCTAAATTGAATCAGTCTGAGTGTGGAGTATTTTAAAGTTGATATCTTATTCATTCCAGGCGAATGTTCCCCGTGATGCGCGTCTCCTTCACTGGCTTGCGCCCAGGTCACAGCTACACGGTACTGATGGACATCGTGCCCGTGGATAACAAGCGGTACCGCTACGCGTACCATCGATCGAGTTGGCTGGTTGCCGGAAAAGCCGATCCCGAAGGCGCGGAACAGCAGCGTCGACGTCGCCGCTGCTACCTCCATCCGGATTCCCCCTTTACTGGGGAACAACTGCTCAGGCAGACTGTGTCCTTTGAGAAGCTCAAACTGACAAACAATCCACTCGATAAGCACGGTTATGTAAGCTCTTCTTGCGAGGACGTAGGTTTATTACAAGGATTATTGCTCCCTAATTCTGTACTTGAAGATTCTGTTTGATCGCGTGCTAAGGAGCGGGATCTGCTGAGTGCAGGGGGCTCGCATGATGTTGGCGTCCCAAATGCGATTAGCTTTATCAGCGTTTTATTGATTGCCAGTCCCCAATGGCTAATCTGGATGTACGACGTGGCTCATTGTCTGTTTCTTCTGCCGTTCATTAAAGTGGACTTTCATTTCCTGTGGAAATCGTGACAGAAGCAATGACATTGCTTCGAAGAAAATTTCGATGTGTGAGACGACAGACTTGATTGTGAGACCCTACAACAAGTCATATAACCTGCCGGAACCTAAACTTCTACCTTAATACCCCCTGCCTGTCTATAATACGGTAAAAAAATTCTATGTAGTCTGTGTTGCCGATCAACTGGCACAGGAACATCTATTTCTGGTTAACTATCAGCAAATCGGAAGGAAACGTGCTAATTCAAAAGACCTTTCTTTCTAACTCCTCGTTAAAATTTGGAGCATCTTGTTTGCGGATAGCATCTCCCCAGAGCTTTATCCTGATGACGTTCTCCTGAAAGTGTTTGCATGGAATGAATTTGGTCCACTTTCAAGTTTCAGTTTTACTTCACAAAAGGACTCAACTGCTAGTAGGTGCAGTTATAAGTTACTCCGTTTTAGTAATTCATTTAGTCAAGTTGTTTGAATTATCCAATTCCACTTGATTATCTGATGCAGGCCACGAGACAAGTGGTGTCGTGATGATGCAGACGTTTTCCTGTTTGACCCCCGCAGATAATCCTCAACTCGATGCACAAGTACCAGCCCCGAATCCACTTGGTGCGGAGGCCGCGGGGCGCCTTCTCTCCCGACGCGCTCAGCGCGCTGCCTGCGGACGAAGTCAAAACCTTCGAGTTCCCCGAAACCGTCTTCATTGCGGTAACTGCCTATCAAAACCAACTTGTAAGTTGGTACTTGGAGACCCTTTGTGCAATTTCTTGTTTTCGACAGTTTAAGTTGACTCTGGTTCGTATCAGACCTGCTCGGTTGGGGTCTGGGGTTAATTAATCCACTTCAGTAGCTTTGAATTCATTTGCCAAGCAGAGGTTCACAGGGGGCAAAGTGAGGGTGGCCAAGTAGAGCCCAGCTTCACCATATGCACCAGTAAAATCTCCACAAGTGACCCTTCCGTAGATTCGTAGGTCAACTTGTCTTCTTAAAAATTGGATATGTTGAATTTATAAACTTGGGATGAAGTAGTAACTGTGCCATGACAAGCACTGGTATCATCATAACCCAGCAATCAAGTTATCAAAAAAACTGCCCTTTTCAGCATGTTGAGTAAATAGCCATTGAACTCGGTCCGTTCCCAACAACCCAGGAACGCGGACACTGATTGAAAATTACAAGACAAATCTTGATTAACTCTGGCTTTCTTGCCACATATAAAACAACTGACCTCAAAGATTTCAGTCTAAATTAAAACAACTCACATGTCTGTTATGTAAAACATGTAAGGTTGAATGAATGCTTGGATTTCGGTGACTTCCAACATCGAAGAGTTCCATCGGATGGACACGGCATCGGATTCTTTTAATAACGTTCCTACAAATACGCGCATTCTTAAGTCACGCAGTCGGCATATTACAGCTCCTCTCCCCGGCTTCCGTATACCTTGGTGTTACAATAACATCTGGCGGTTGCAAGTATGCCTTCGTCTGCGTCGTAATTAACAGACATGCACATCCATAGGAAGTCACACATCTGGAATGGGGTAGGGAGAAGCTAGCAGTAACATCGCTATTCCCCCTCTCCTCCCACACGTGGCACTCTCAGGTGTTTGCGTAACAACTTTCTGTGTGTGTGTGTGTGCTTGTGTTTGACCTAGAAAGGCGTCTTCCTTAGCCAGGCAGGCAGTGAAGGTGCTGATTTACGACCAGTACCTGCTCCTGTTATTATGTCAACAGATGATGCCTCCTGATGTGTACCGCAAAATGTCACCCGCGAATGCCACCCTCTTCCTTGACACACACCCAAAGAGAGTAGCTACGGGTTTTGGCATTGAATTTCAACCAGAATCAGCAGCTTAAGAGTCTCACCGTGTTCTAGCGATATTGCTTCTTTTGGGATACTTTTTCTGGCATGCTCCTTTCTTCGTTTACTCCGGTTCTAGGAAAAATACGCTTTAGTAAGACTTTTTGGGATTTCAGCTTATGCAGACAAATTGAAGCAGAACGTCTTCGAAGATTTTTGAGGTTACATCGATGGTGCTTGCTAGAACATTTGCATCCTCAGAGTTCCTTGTGGGCAGGCTGAAATTCTACAAATGGTTCATTCTGATGTTTTACAAATTGCTAATTTGAATCATTTGCACTAATACCTCTTTGCACTTGTCAATTTGTTATTTTGTTGCTATCCTAGATAACAAAACTGAAAATTGACTGCAACCCCTTTGCCAAAGGTTTCCGTGATTCCTCCCGTCTAACAGATTTTGAACGGTAAGTGCCCATTTGTCTTCGATTCAATTCCCCAGTCATAGCCAGACAAAAGGCGCTAGATTTGAGTGCCACACGACGTGCGGGTCAGGGCGAAGTGTCAGTTTGCTTCGGCTCCGCTAAATGTTTGCTGGGACTCGGAAGCAGAACCATGTCCACACCAGAGGCACTGGCTTTGTCTCACTCGAAAGCGAGGTGCTCACTCTTGTGCCAACGGGAGTGCTCCCTAAAAGCTCGATAGCCACGACCTCACTTACAAAACTTCGGTTGTTCACCTGTAGGAGTGTACTCACAATCCAGACCTGGCTTTTCGACATTGACAAGCGTGCACAACGGCCACTACAGGACATTGCCCAAAAAATTATACGCACAAATTAAATCGATTCAACGACAGGCAATATATGCATGGGTGTGAGGGAGGGTATGCGAGTGGTTTGAAAGCTAGGCATCCGGTCGATATCAATTTAGAGGCCCCTAGATGCCACAGGGTGAATGAAGCACTCGAATGGTGGAGCTGCGGTGTTGTAAAACCGGCCCATGCAACACCATGGCTGCTTGCAGTTCCAAGGCAATATGGCGATGGCTTTCCTGGGATCCCATCTGGGTAGGTGATAAGGCCCTCACAAGCCCGTCCAAGAAGGTCGAAGTGCCTCGTACACCGCAGTCTCTGGCTCTAACATCGCTCTGGGATGAAGTTGATTATGCCCTACACGGTATTAACTTAGGTGCTATGCGGCGAAGTTCATCAGCTTTCTTTGGCTGCCTGATTTTGTCCAATTGTTTACTATAGCATGAAGGATGCGCGAAGTTGCTGGCCGGGGGGGGGGAGAGTGTTTATACGAGGGAGCGAGAGGGAGTGGACAAATCTCTGCCACCACCGGCTGGGGAGGGGTGGGTTGCGAGGTGGGGGACACGCAGGTGGCAAGAGGCCTGGCGACAGTCCTGGCGTCGGCCCTGAAGGCGCTTGATTTATGCGTCCACGCGTGCGCGATGACGCTGGCTAAATGCCCAACGACATTTCTCCCGTGCCCACTCTAGCCCGACTACTGTTTATATTACCATGCGGTGAAAATGCTCTGTTGGCACTGTTATAGCTGGGGCGAGGTCCTTTCACCTTCACCTATTCACAAATTAGGCATAGTTTTTTTTTGTCTGAAGTTTTGCCTGGCTTCACATTGCAATGAAAAATTGATAATCAATTGGCATCAGGAAAGGCGTCTGTGTCTGCGTCCATTGTGACTCTTGGAGAATTTTGATAGTAAACATAGGCAGCAAAGAAACTGGGCTGGCAGTGATCGAATGCCTCATCACACCGATAGACATGAGTGGTGCGCTTGCAATCGTTAATCTCAGGCAGACGCTCTCGAAGACAAATGGACCAACGCATGGCTTCACTTCTAGCCTCTTTATTCAGAAAAAAACACTTAGAGTAGAACAGTGTCACTTGACCAAAGTTATACAAACTATCATAGGTTGTATACCACTGGGAAAGCCCTCTTTTTTGAACGTTTTTGCGAAGGGAGTAGGCTATTCATGTTTGGAGGTATTCCGTTCTTTTAAGTCCGGGCAAAACTGCATTGAATTCCACCGAAAAACTTCATCTAGCACGAGTCTTAACATGAAAAAAGGATGTAAATAATAGAATAAGGATGAAACTCAAGAATATGCTGCGCTAACCGGGCATTACTTCTGCTAAAGCCTGGATTATTTCTATTGAATGTTCTTAAATTCACTGCCTGCCAACTAGTCCGTCATTTATGCTGCCAGGACTTGTGAAAAGACTGTCAGCAAAAAAGCTGATGTGCCTTAATTGACGAAGAGTGGAGAGGTGTGTTGATAAAGAGTTCCAAACAGGGCAAAGTGAGACACGGTTGGGAGTCTGTTGGTGATGGCGGCGAGTTTGCTGTTCCTCGTTAGAACAAGGGTATTTTTCGCTGATGCATCGATTTTGGGCTGTGGAGGTAGAGAAGCAGTGCATGGCACCACTACTACAATCCCCAATTAACGTGTGCAGTAAAGTGAATACGATTTGTGGTCATTAGTTTAGGGTTTCATCTCTTCCCATTCTCTGTTACGATCCAGCAATAAGGACACATAAAGAAGCAAGTGTGCATAGCAGAAATGGTATTAGAATCACCCAACACTAGTAGAGTATATTGTTGAAATGAACTCTTTTGCAGCCAGACACATTAGAACGCTCTTCGTTCTCTTGATTAGCGCACCTAAAAAAGAGGGATCATGCAGTGCAGAAGTGAGCGATCAGTTCTGTAAATAATGAAGTGGGAAATAACACCCCCCAATGTCCATTTAAAAATATTTCATTGCACTTTTCCTGCAATGTTCAGAGAATCAGTGGAAAACCTCCTCGCAGGTCAACAGCCCAACGGCATGATTGCAGCCCTCGCCTCAGGACACTGCAGACCACCTCTGCCCCCACCCACTGCCGCCACGCCCCCCTCCTCGGCATCCCTGCCCACATTGATGCAGCACATGCTCACCTCAGCACTCCAGCAGGACTCGTCGGTGAGCGCACATTTGTCGCCGCACTCAACCACAGCCATGCTGGCCTACCTCCACTTGGTCCACTCCCTCGGCAACAGGAGCACCAACCGGCCTGAGTGGCCGGGACGCGATTCTGTTGCATAAGCCACTTGAAAATGGCCTTTGTAAATATAGTGTAATGCATGACATCTGAGAATCGAAATAACAAATGCAATGATAATTTTAATTCCTCAAAAAAAACTGAATGTTTTTTTCCGGCAGGGGACTGATTAAGACGAAAGTTTCGATGGGCCTGTAAACAATACTGGCAGAAGGGTAACACGCCATACGAAAACAACAGAGGCAGTTTGGAACGTTGTTAGGTGACCGCATGTCCTCCTAAGGCAGAACAAAAGGGTAGAGAGGCATAGCGTGGTAAATTTTACAGTGTCTGGTCTTTGTGCAATACCTAAGGAGTCGAGATGAGCCGGTAGTTTTGAGTGGCATCAGCTGAGCATGGGCCACCGATGCCGCTTTATTTAAAGTCGCTGTCTGACGCTACAAGTGAATAAAGGGAGAACTACGGTTTTCTTTAGCCTTTTTTTTCGAAAAGTAACAGGGAACTCAGTTTACATGCCGTCTCGAGGAGCGAGACCACCACCACCACCACCACCACCACCACCACCACCACCACCACCACCACCACCACCACCACCACC